GTGTGTGTGTGTGTGTGTGTGTGTGTGTGTGTGTGTGTGTGTGTGTGTGTGTGTGTGTGTGTGTGTGAGAGAGTGTGAGCGTGAGTGAGTGAGTGAGTACAGGAGAGGCAGAGCTGAAAGTGAAGGGTTTCTGTTGTCTAAATGAAAAGGCGAGGAGCATGTGCCAAACTGGATTAAACTCTGAACGCCAGTTTTCTTTGTAAAACACACACAAAACAAATGTACATATAAATTATGTAGCAACATACTTGTAAAAATAGGAAAATATTTTTTTAAGGTGAAGTTCTTAAAGCACTTGAGGCTTAGATGAGACATATCTGCAAAATCCACTTTTTAGCTGTTAAATACATTTTATTGTGAACTTGGAGTCTGTAGGAGGCAGAGAAGGTGAATTTAGTCTCTCCTGGTGCTGCAAAGATATCTTTATGTTCTGTTTGGGTCAGATTTTTCAGCCCGTTCAGTTTCCTCTGTTTTTTTATGACGTTTTCTGAACTATTACATCAAATTATCTATGATAGAACTTCTAAATAAGGTCTTGATTTACCAACTACAATTTGGTGGTCTTCATTTTCCTTTGGCTCCAGCGTGTAAGGCTGGACGGACAAGTCTTCTCTTGTTGTCCACTTTTAATCAAATTGTAAATAAAAAGTTTCTGCACAACTTTATGGCCATAAACCCCTCTATCAAACTAAATGAACTGCTCTGGAAGCTGGATGGGGTGGGGTGTGAAGCGTCTCGTTTGGATTTAAAGGAGCAGCATCAAAACRAGTYGATCTGAGATGCACCTCAGAAGAGTTCCTCTTTATAAAGACTGCAGCTGATGATTTAATTGTGAAAAAGGATTTAAATGCAGGATATGTCTCTTTTAAGTCTTCAGCTTAAAGCTGGTCCGTAATGAAGAAACGTGCTTTTCTACAATTATAACCACAGATTTTCAATCAGAGAAATGGGAAGCTGTTTGCATCAGGTGTGATTGTTCTAGCTGAGTTTAACTGAGTGGAAGTAGACACAGAATCTGAAATATATAAGAAGAATAACTTTCTGATCTTCCATTAACTTATGCACTTATCCCTGGTGGGATTCTCAGTTATATGACAGTGTCATATTAAGACACGTTCTGGTTCTCTGCTCTGATTATGAAAAGGGGGACAAAAAGAGTTTCTATTTGATGGTTAATTGCAAGTGCACTTTATTAGCGATAAGCTTTGATGTTTGAACATGATGAACCACAGTCTAACACATACTGACATTTTTTTTCTCTTATGTTCAATAAAATCATAATAAACTGACTTTGGGTGCTTTGATTTTATTTTTGTCTTCCAAACACAGCGTCACAGCCTTTCAGTTTATACCAGATTAGTCTGGTAGTTTGGGCCAGATGATGAAGAATGGATGAGTTTACCTGATTTGTTTAAAGGAATGTTATACAAAATTGAATTATTTTTTAGCTTTATGTGTCCATCCATCATCCACTTTATCCAAAGTAGGTTTGCAAAGTTTTACTCATGAAATTAACAAAAATGCAGATGATAATGGAAGAAAACTTTAGGACACCCTATACCCTCTAATACAGTATTTTTCAACCCTGGTCCTTAAGGCACAATGTCCTGCATGTTTT